AAGTGTGTTTGCGCCTTGAGTGTGGCATGTAGTCATGCTCTTACGTGACACGCGTCTCATAATTATCATGTTTGAACCAGTCACATACCTTCGTAATCCATTTACGTGACGTAATACGAAATCTGGCATAAAAGAGTCTAGTGAAACGGCTCCGAGCGCATCATGAGTGCGGCATGTAGTCAGGTTTTTACATGACACGCATGTTATGATTATCATGTTTGGACAAGTCATTTACATATGTCGTCCATTCACGTCCCTTAATACCAAATTTGGTGTATGTGAAGCTAGCGTAACGGCTGCGAGGGCATCATGAATGTGGCTTGTCATCATAATGTTACATGACACGCAACTCATGATTATCATGTTTGCACCAGTCACATACCTTTGTCATCCGTTCGCATTACATAACGTCAAATTTGTATATATGAAGCTGGCGAGACGGCTGTAAGCGCATCATGAGCGTGGCGTGTAGTCATGACCCATGACTTACATGACATGCATGTCAAGATTTCCACGTTAGGGTCTGTCGCGTGTTCGCCATGCAATCATATCGTACCATACCAGTTTTGCAATATGTTTTGTAAACGACAACACCGCAAGTGCACCAGGACCAAAAAATGTAAATCATGACATTCATGACATACCCGTCATGATTTTCACGTTATGACTAGCCAAATGTGCTCGCCATACAGTAATGTTATGCCATACCAAGTTTGGTATCGATACCGTTATTCAAACGGCTTGAGAGCTAAAAGTCGTAGGCGGCTAGATAGATAGATACGCTCAAAGTCACAGAAGTAGACTAAGAAATGCTTTGCATTTAAAAAATAATTGGCAAATCCCACGTACAGTGGGAATCTATGATATGCGAACCACGAACGAGGAAGGTAGATATGTTCTTTTAAAATGAGCACAACGTTACGAGGCGGAGGTAAATTATGCCGTACCTTACATTCCTTGTCCATGTTTGAACGTGTCATTTACCTTCGTCATCTATTCACGTCATCTGATACTAAAATTGGTATATGTAGAGCTAGTGAAACGGCCACAGGCGCATTATGAATGGTCCAGTACACTGCGACGGAACGTTGACGCGCGTGCACGCTGTGCACAGCAACGCTACACTAGTAACCCTACTGAAAAGTTCCGTATGAAATCTTACGGAAAATATACGGACTCCGTAACATTTCCTTATGCTACATACGGAAAACTAATGGAGTTTTATGGAAATATACGGAAGTTGTATGGCATTTACGGAAAGCTTCTTATGGAATATATGGAAGGATAAGGAAATTGTATGGCGTATACGGAAAGCTTTTTATGGAGTATACAGAAAGATAAGGAAAATGTATGGCATATACGGAAAGCTTTTTATGGAGTATATGGAAGGATAAGGAAGTTTTATGGCGTGGATGGAGTGAGTTTTACGGAAAATATGGAAAGATAAGGAAACTTATGGAGCATACGGAGAGTTCATTATGGAAGATTTGGGAGGATAAGGAAAGTGTATTGAGTGTACAGAAGCTTTCATAAGGAAAATACAGAATGTAAGGTCTTACGGAAATATACAAATTTTGTAAGGTGCTTACGAAAATGTGCAATAGTGTATGAAAGGAATGTGGATTGTTGCAAAAATGTGGAAACTGTACAGTTGTTGTCACATTTTCAGCAGGAAATACGAGCTCTATAAAGTTATAAATGAATGCACAGTGACATATATAGTACACAAGAATAACGCAGGCTAGTCTGTGTTGTCAGTCACCGCTGTTCGCCCTTTTCCAGAATGAATAGAACTTCTGCAGATGACCAGCTAGGTGCTAAAGTCTGTCACACGGAAAATGTGTCCTTCACAAGGAATGACAATAACTGTCATTTTACTTGCATGCTGTCACACGAAAACAAATCAAGCAAGCAAAGCATAACTTCAAGGGCTCGTTTTTTGGTAGAAACAATAATAATGAGAACTAAATTCAATGTGAATGAACTTGTCAATATTAATGAAACTGTTCTCATTAACATTGGCAAAGAGAAATGTCATTTTAAAATATCGACCATGAGCTTAGCTCTTCTGAGCACCGACAAAAGAAATGAAAATCTATGAAAACTAATTGCATGTAGCCTAAAAATAATTTTTTATTGATAGTATATGTGCTCCTACAATATAGATACAGCTATACACAACTTGCCACAGCTTCACGACAGAAACGAGGTAGGGGCAGAGGGAGTGGTCAGAAAAATAATTAAGTATGAGAGCACAATTGATATGTACAGACACATAATGGCACGTGCTTATCATTGATGCACGGATGGTCGTGTATAGAGCTGGGTCGTTTTGAGATCTTCAAAAGCATTGTTTCAGACCACCATGCAGATTACGCTTCCATTGTAGTGCTACATAAGACACAACTTATATGCCAGCTTTAATGAATAAAAAGATTATAGGTTAAACAAATGCTTTAAAATATATCATATCATGGCTGCATGGACGCATACAAGCTATGTAAAGCGCAATAAAGTGAGGACGCATGAGCTTCTCTTGATGCTTCAGTTTTACATAGATGCTTCAACTGTGCTGCAAAAAAATTTAACCAATGTCTGTGTGTGCAACATTGTCCATTTTAAACTATCTATATGTATATATAAAATTCCTACTGCGGGTTAAGCTACGTAGCACTCCATAACTCTTCCTTTTATTAAGGGCAATTTTTCAAACAATCAACATTATTCATTTTCTGTCTCATGACTTCATGCCCGCAATTCTTGGTTTGGCTCGATCACAATTGTGCAGCCCTTATTTTGGAGGAATCAAAAAATATCAACCAAAATATATTTTGGAACTGCTCCTCGGTGATATTGCCTTCCCTCAACTGCCACAGCTTGAGATGAGTCATATAGCAAGTCTCGCGCATACCTAGGGCCTACCCTTGAGGAAACTGGTCCGGCTGTGAAATGCTCAGTTTTTTCTCAAATAAACTTTTCGGTTTGAGTTTTCTCAGTTCTCGAGTCCCTTCACAATAAAGCAGACCCAATGTTCCCCTTAGTCCTTAATTTTGTTATATTATGAAATAAATAAAAAAATAATACTGAAAATAAAAATACTAATAACTGTTGCGCAAAAAACTCAGTCCCACATACGTACTTGAACGCAATATTGCTTTTATTTTGTTTTATAACCTAAGGCATTAGAAAAAATAGCAGTACAATAAAAACGTTGAAAAAAAAATTTAATTTTGGCGGGATTTGAACCTGCGCCACTCAGTTGCGCTCGTGCACGTGAACCGAGTGCGTTAACTAGCTAAGCTATCCGCGCAGAACAGTGAATACTGTTTAAGTTATGCATATAAATTTGCTTTTCACACGCTATGTGTTGGCATATTTATGTACGATATGCGATCGTATCTATTGCAGTGTGCATACGTTTTGTGATTGTATATACGTCACATGCTTTTCGCATGTCTTTCAACTATAGATTGCTGCCCCGCCGCGGATGAAAACAAGTATTTTTACATCCGCACACAAGCTTGAGCAGTTGAAGGTTGTTTCCCGGGGCTCTCTTGCGATTGAGTCGGCCACCACAGGGAATTAGAGTGATACGCCATTAATCCCTGCATCTAGCTGTATTCCACTTAGTAGCTCTATCGCTTGATGACAAATCGAGCGCGGGGCGCGACGTTATTGCGCACGACCATGCCTCGCGTAGTGGCGACATCAGCTGATTGCGCCGGCCCGCTTGCTTTGATTTGCTTCAGAGCAAAGAAATGTCATACCTTGAAAGATTGCGTACTGCACTATATCAAAATGTTACTGCTTTGTAGCCATCCTATTATTCATTGAGAATTGATAACTCTGACATCACTACTGTAGAGCTTTGCGTCGGCGACACGCACCGATCGTGAAACCGCACTACGTCTGTCGTAGAAGCAGTAGGAGGCTGTCGTCTGCTAGAACAAAAACAAAACAAAAACCTGCGAAAATATTCATAAGTTGTAACTTGTTTTTTGAATAACCGTTTATCACTTTTAAAGTTATTTTGCCAGATAACATACATTTTTTTTAGTTCATAGCAGCGACAGATGTTTTTTTTTTCCCTCACAGAGATATCCAAGCCAAATCCATTCACAGCTAAAGCCACATGTTGTTTGTCTTTGTCTCCCTGGGGAGCTCTCTCCTGTGTTCGCGCTGCTACACACGAGAGCACGAAATGTTAAATTTACGCAAGGAAGCGCCGTTCCTCGTTCGTGTGATGTGCTAAGATTGCGCCCTATTCCCGCGGTTGTTCGAGTGTGGATCAAGTGCGAGTCGTCCAAGGAATCGGCGGGTTGGGCGGGCGCTCGAAGGACTCCGAGGTGACGGCTGACGCCTGTGGTTGCTTCCCTCAGGACAGTTTGAAAGAAACTAAAGGTAAGGGGGACACTTTTTTATGTAGACCAAATATGCCACTCAGTGCAAGTGTGTTGCTACACTCGAACGAGGCGTCGTGAAACGGCAACCTTACGCGCCTTTGCGAGTGCGGTTGCCGATTCGCTTTGGCAACGCTAACGCTAGCAGAGCCATGGCGCATCGGCGCGGCCTTACTGGAGCTCATTCGAGACAACTGCGGCAACATGCATGTGTATGGTGATCGATTTTTCATATGTGCAGTGTAGTGAGGAAGACGCACACGGCGCTTGCTACGTTGTTGATTAAACGAAGCCTGCAGTGCCATTTGATGGAAGAGTAATGCTGCACGCACGACGTCGTGAGCGCAGACCGGAAAAGGCTGCACGCACGAGGCGGCATAGTAGCGACATCTAGCGGGTGACGACGGTGACGATGCTACTAGCACATGACTAGCACGTGGCGGCCCGAAACGCCACCGACGCCACGCCGGCCACGCTCACGCGTAGTCAACACAGCTGTGTCAGTAGTGGTTGTGCGCAAACCGCACAGACCCCTCGGCGGTGTTTATCACTCACCTTTCACGCGCGTGCCTGCGGTCTCTGTGGCGGTGCGCGTTAAGGAGCAGGCAGCGTGCGAGTTTCGAAGACATGGACGAAGGCGCGAAGTTCGACAGCTTCGTCGAGTTTGACCGAGCATTCATCGATTTTTCAAGTGACTACGAACACTCTTTTTGTCACAAAAGCAAGCAAGACTGTGGACATTGTGAACTCCCGGCTTTCTGCCGGTCTAACTAAGCTCGATGCAAAGTTAAAATTTGCGAACATAACCTATGCTTGCAAGCACGGTGGTGCCATGAGAAAGACAGGGAGTGGAATTCGTCCGCAACAAAGGTAAGCGCTTCCACTCTCGCCTTGAATGAAGGTGCCCATTCGCAGAGCGTGAACTTTGGAGCTGAAAAACTTCTCTCTTCTCCTAGGACTATGAAGAAGGACTGCCCAGCCAAAATTATCGTTGCGGCGCGCCGGGCCAGCCAACAGCTAGAAGTCACGGCTGTCAACCTCGAGCACAACCACGAGGTCAGCCCGGAAACATATAAGGCGTGCTCGGAGTGTCGCCAGCTGAACGAGGAGGGGGTGAACTTCGTTAGGCCCCTAATAGAGCTGAATGTCCGTCCTAACCTCATCGTGGAGAAGCTGAGACAGGAAACTCGTAAGAAAAGTTTTTTTTTCTTGCGAGATTAGTCGTTTAATTTACTTCTTTATTTTGTTTATGCAGGGAAAGCAGTAATCGCCAAAGACATACACAACCTGAAGTGTGCGCGGCGAGGCCAGGATGAGGCGACCCAGTTAATGGAGGAGCTGAACTACTGCAAAGCGAAATATGGCGCGAAAGTACTTCCCATCACAGATGAAAACAAGGAATTGCAGATCCTGTTCTTCTAGACCCCACACATGCAGCAGGCATTCAAGTGCTTCCCAGAAGTCCTCCTCCTTGATGCAACATACTGCACGAACAAGCTGCGCATGCCTCTTTTCGTAATGGTCGTACAAGATAAGTCCGGCTTGAGTCATGTTGTCGCGTATGCATTTGTGGCATCTGAACAGCAACATGTAGTTACTAGTCTTTTAGAGATCTTTGTCCAAGAAAACTCTGCAGCAACGAATACAAAAGTTGTGGTCATAGACAAGGATTTCACTGAAGTGAACGCTGTCAAAGCAGCCTTCCCAGGTTCCCCAGCAGTGCAACTGTGTGAGTTTCACGTGAAGAAGGCCTTCGAAACAGCTGCTGCACAGCTTGGAAAGTCACCTGATGAACGCAAGCGTTTGTTGGGTAGCTTTAGTGAAATGCTGCATGCTCCCACGTTTAGAAATATGATGACGCAAAAGCTGAATTTGAAAGGTATGCCAGTTCAGAAGCCACCAGCTATTTCGCAAAAAACTGGAGCAACATCACAGAGATGTGGGTACGGTACCATTGTGATCAAGAGTTCACAGAAGGCAACAATATATACCAACAACCGTGTTGAATCTCACAATGCGAAGATAAAAAATGCTCTCTCGTCATCCTCAAAACTTCATGAAGCTCTTCGTGGCCTCTTAAAGTTGTGTACAAGCTTGTCCCAAGAAACACATCACAAGACCATACTTCTGAAGACCTGCGACTTCTACAGCTATGAAGGACATGAAGGTGTGCAGGAGCAGTGTCGCAAAGTTCTCACGCCGTATGCCTGCAAGTATTGAGCAATGAGCTGGTGAAGCTTCGTGATGAACCTCGAGAGGTTAAAATGTTGTCGCCACGTACCTATGCCGTGTTTTCTACATCTACTGGTGTCTGGCATGATGTTTTCTTCGAAAAACATTCATGCAGCTGTACCACGTATAAAAAGATGAAGCTGCTTTACAGCACATGCTCGCAGTTTGTGCTAGATTTGACGTCAAACCATGTCTGGAGGAAGCTGTCAGCAGACGATGGTTCAAATCATATCATCTGGAGTTCCTTGGAACCACTGCATATAACCATGAACAAGATGACATTGACTCTGAGTCCACGACGGAGGGCTCTGCAGAAATACAAGCTCTGTCAATGCCAGGGCCTTCCTTTCAGAAAATGAACAGAAATCAGCGTTTCAATTATGCAATGCGGACGCTTAAGGCTATCGCAGACAATTTGGCTGACTGCCAGCCAGACGTCTTTGCAGCAAGACTCGGTTTCTTAGAGTCTGTGAACGCAGCCTGGCTAAGGCAAGAAGATGTGGCACTGAGCCATCATGAAAAGGACAAGGTGCAAGCACCAGAAAATTCTACTGCACAAGATGTTTGCTCGGCAGATATGTTGCATGCTGATAAAGAGCAGCAGCTGCTCGACAACAATCAGCCCAGTGGATCTATCGAGCCCTTGATCAGCAGCAGTGAGACTGGAAGCTCTACAAACCAAGAGAGCACCACATCCACCTTTGTAATCGAAATAAGACTTCCCCATGTCAAGAGCCGAGGCCGTCCAAATAAGCGGGTGCTGCAGAACAGGTTCAAGCGACCAAGAGAACAAGATGATGGCAGACCTGTGCCATTTAGGCAGCTAACTGAGAAGTCCCAAACAAAATGTAAGGAAGATTGAATTATGCTATTTGATACTTGCGTTTATTCTAATAACTGCACTTGCATAAACTTTGATTTCTTGCATTATGCTTTTTTTCCTAGTGATATTGTCAGGCCTCATTGATGACAGCCTGTGCCAAAGGGTGGTGGATGGTACGTACATCCTACTGGAGAATGACCTGGAAGTTCGTCCCGAAGCCCTCCCCAGTGCTCTGCTGGACTGCAGAGTATCCCTGCCAAAACTTAAAAAATACTTCAGTCCTGACGCATGGGCTCTTTTAAGTTCCTCGGGTAAATGATTCTAACATCTTCAATGCCTTTATGCTTTAAAAATGTGTAATTATTTTCTTTTCTTCACAGTTGCTATAAAGAAGGAGAAAGAACTGTGGAGTTGTGGCCTGTGCAAGCAGATCGACGATGGGCAAACTAGCATGGTTTGCTGTGACCAATGCCTAGAGTGGTTTCACTGGTGAGGGCATGCTTTCTGGAAACTTCATTGCTAAGTTTGCAATGGAAAATGTTAAACTGTGTTAAAGAGCAAGTGTTTCTGCCATTTAAATATTTTTTTTCTTCTGGCTAAGGCCCCCTTTCTATAGTTAATGAAAAAACATTGCATTAAAATAATAAAAGAACTATTTCCAACAGTTTCAAGATAAACAGTTGCAAAACTTGTTTTATAATGAATTTCATCATAAAGGGCCACATCTCTTGCTGTCAATTTGCATCAAAATTAGTAATGGTCCTGGACTTCACTAATTTAATTTAGCATAGTAAGTTATCGATAATTTTCACGGTAAATAAATTTTCATTTCAGGCCATGTGCTGGGATCACCAAAGAAGCTGCGAGGAAGTTGTGGTACTGCACTCAGTGCACTTCAAAGAGTTTCACAGCTGCCTCTGATTGAGTTAATATCGCCTGACAAATACCATGTCCCTGGGGCACTTCTGTTAACTCCAAAGCAATCAAAACCAATAAAATTATTTGCCCCTCTCTGTTTTGTTGAATTTTAGAGGAAGATGCCTCAGTATCCTTGGTGGTTTTGACATCTAATATATTCTAGCTCTGTTAATTACTTTGAGAGTCCAAAGTGGTCCGCATAGCAGAATGATGCAAAAGCGCACAGGCAGTCCTAGCTTGCAAGAAATAAGCCAAAAAGGAAAAAAAAAGATTTTCTTATCACGGCGTCTGGTTTCATTACCAAGCGATTTCGACTGCAGACGTTGCCTCGCGGTTAACACTTAAAAACATTTAACGTTTCAGTTGCTTGTCAGTTAAGCCCAAACTCCATAAGCGCGAAAATGCACGCGACAGCGACGAGCGACGCGACGTAGATTGGCGTCGCGCGATCAGTCGCTAGCGCAGGCAAACCTCATTCACGCGACGGCTTCGGCGAGCGAATTCCACTGTTGCTGGCATGAGGCCGTCAACTCGCACCAAGAAAACCGCGTAGCGAGCGGTTTCCAATTAAAAAATAAGATATATTGTTGTGTAATGGAACGGAAAGTGTTTATTATTGCCTTGCAGCATTTTTTATATGCGCATGCGTAATAAACATTGCGTTATTTCTTGTTGCGCATACGTGACTCGGGCAGGGTCACGTGCACCTATGTAGTCTTCGTCTCTTCCGGTATTTCGCTATTGGCTGCTTGAGCCCAGCACTTCCGGGCGATGAGCGACGGTTTCCAAATCTGGAGAACCGAGCGATCGCGCGAACGCCCTGTTTTGTCGCTCATAGCGTCGCTCGTCGCTGTCGCGTGCATTTTCGCGCTTATGGAGTTTGGGCTTTAACCGTGGCTATCAATCGGAGCCTGTTGTCGAAGGGCGTTTCATCTCCACCCTTGCGGCCGTGCCAGTCATCATCTCTCAAGCAGGTGCGTAGCCAGGGGCAGGGGGGGTCAACGACCCCCCGGCCCTGGCTACGCACCTGCTTGAGAGATGATGACTGGCACGGCCGCCTGGATCGGGCGCGCGCGGCGGGACGCGCGCCCCCGATCTAGGCGGCCGTGTGACTGGGATCTAATTTGTTTTTCGCGCCGCTTGGGGACACGTTCACACAGTTCAAGTGCCGTGAGAGCTTAGCTCCAGTCGTACACGAAATGCATGGATACGTGCTGAGGTTGGGCGCGGAAAAAAAAAAAAGAAGAAGAAGCCGTGGCGCGGCGTCAAGAGAACTTTGCGTGTGCTTTTGTAGCGAGTGCTGAGGTACAGGCGATGCTAACTGCTTGGTCTAATCGCTCAGTGGTCTGGTGCATGCGCCCGCTTTTCGTTTTAACGCGTTTTCTTTTCTCGATTTTTTTTTCATCGTCAAAGTTGTAAAACTCTTCCAAGGCACAACGGGGCCATAAACGACGTCACTTACTCGGCCTGCCAGAGCGGATACCCGGGCGAGTCCGCGCTGCGAATTTCTATCCTTTCGCGCAGCGCTGTGCGCATCTCAACGGCCAGGACCATACGACAATATTCTAGTACACTCTAAACCGCCATGAGCTAGATGTCGAGAATTTGCCGCGTCCATGACTGTGCCGCACCGCGCTTTGCGGATCTCAAAGGCCACATTAATTCCACGCTGATCACCCGGGATCACGCTAAGTCGCGTCGTCACCCGCTAGATGTCGCTACTATGCCGCGTCGTGCGTGCAGCCTTTTCCGGTCTGCGCTCACGACGTCGTGCGTGTAGCATGACTCTTGATGGAAAGCAGCATTTTGTTTACGTTCGCGGGCGATACAACTCGTAACTTGGCTCGATTCACCTACCCAACCGCCTAAGTGGGTTGATTAGCATACGTTCACGGTAGAGCGTTATTATGCCCCTAAACAGGGGCGTGTGCTTGTTAAAAGATATAATGTGTGGGCCTAGTGTAGAGAGAGAGGTGTTCGTGCAATCTGCATATGTACCTGCAAGACGCTTTTGCTTGTAACTAATAATGTACCGGCCAGCACCTACATTGTACGCCTGACTTTGAAGAAAACTTGCATGCACAATGTGAGATTTTGTAATCTGCCAGAGTTGCTTTTTATAAAATAATACACTGCCAGCATGTTCAAAATATGTTTCGCTGCTGTGTGGCAGGGGTGCGGTTATCATGCTGTTGTGTAGTTGCTGATGCAAGCACTTATAGTTTTGATGCGTTAATATTTCTCATCTAACTCATCAGGTGTTTGGCTGTTTCAGCACAAACAAGGCAAAGAGAGAAGGAAGACGGGTAATGACAGGAGGAGTGCCGACTTTTGTTTGCAGGAGAATACCCATGTTGGTGTATTTATTGTGACAGCCTTTCTGTGTTGCTTTCTTGCCCAATTTATGCAACAAAACAGTTGTCAGCAATATGAGAGAGAACACTGAAATTAGCTTTTAAAGATCATGGTGACTAAATGCCTAGTAATTCACAGCACAAAGTAACAACAAAAGACATCAGTATGATTATTGTGGACGAGTACAGTCTTGCATCTAAAAAATATATTGTGCAAAATGTTGCCTAAGTAAGAAACCTCTCTATGTTTGCAAATAGTGTGACGTCACTTCGAGCGCCGTGCCAGCCATTCCCTCCCTCTGTGCAAGGGCTGGTTGGCAAGGAAGTTGTTTGTGACGTTCCTGATAGACCACTGAGATGTATGCGATTCTAAACCTGTAGCCTAATATATACGTAATCTTTTGCGCAGTTACATCGCTGCATCTGACACCTACAACTTATTTGCATATTTACATTGCTCCCTTAGGACCTAACACACAAACTTGTTGTTTGCATTGTCACTTCATGAATATCGAGCAGTAAAGGTACTGAGTATATGTGAAACAAGAATCTCTGCTTATTACATGAAGACATATGAGGCCTTCGATAGAACGAGTTATACCTTTATTGGGCTTGCGTACTCGTCGGGGCGATTCATACATGCAGCTTCAGCAAATGGTATCTTCCAGCCCGGTGACCATGCAATTTCTTTCTGCTCATAGCGCAAACACTGAGAGGTACCCACTCGCAGATGGTCGCGTCAAGTGCATATTTACCTTGACTAAAATGTCGAATCAAGTTTTTTCATCGACTGGTCCCTGCCATGAGTGCTAACGTCTTCGCAAACAAGACACATTGTTATTGACACTGCACACACCACACACAATATTCTCAGTTGAACCAATATTCTCAATACCTTTCAATGCACACTACATGCCGCAATCAACAGTGCACATTTTTGAAGACTATGCCACTGTTCCTCCCACAGGCCACCACGTGTGTTCACTTCTTCAAGATAAACAGACAGCGTGGCAAATATTTTACCACACAGCTAGATGTTTGCTGACACATACTACAGCTAATGTCGACATTGTAACGTGAAGTGTAAGCTTTGAAAAATTAAAGCTTGCCCCAAACACCGCACGACTGTACCGGGCTGAGCCACCAGCGGGAGTGTTTTTCCAGCCACACCTTTTACATGTGCCAGTGACATCATGCTGTGACGTACCTCGGTAGGGGCCTATCGCTGCATACTTTATGTGAATGAGGGTCCTGTTAGTGAAAGCAGGCATTGTTGATTTCGTAACTTGTTCATTCCCAACTGGACCTTCATTTGCACGAGTTGTCTCACTGATATTCAGGCGAACTTTTGTGCAATAAATTATACAGTTGGCAGTCTGTGCTTGCTCCATACTGTTGTTACTGGTGTTTCTTGTTGTTACTTTGCACTGCTCATTACTGCTCACCTACGGAAACTAGCCTATCTTGCTGCTGTTTTGGACAAGATGCAGCTGGCAAGTGCGATAGTGTTCATAACTCTAAATTCTCAAGCAAAAATTATCGTTTCATATTCAGTTAGTTGCATTCAAATCAGTACATTATAAGAAATCATTGATTAAAGATTAATCCGTGTTCCTTCACATAATGCTCACAACTTTTATATCAATTTGAATGGTGTTTATAAAAAACTTGGGTTTTAGCTAAACTTCATGCTCTTTTCTTGAACAGCTGACAAAACGCTATTGGATGCTTACTTGCCATGAATTGGATTGTGTTTGAAATACATTGCAATTCTTCACCGGACTGCCAGTACACTTCACATTGGGGGAACATTTATTAACCATGGATTGATTAATTAAGAACGGAAAGAAAGAAGCGGCAGGCCGGGATACTTGATATTGGCATCCGTTTTGCTACCCAGCGCATTATCATGCAAACTTCCTATAGAGTGGTTATGCGTCTTGCATGTGTGTCTGTAAACCAAGAACTTTGGGTAGAACTATATTTTTCTTACAAATGGTTGCAGGACTGTGGAGGCTGTAGGGCTGCTTAGGAATGGTGGAATCCCTGGACATGTGTTCAACCTTGCTGCATCAGCTCCTTGGTGTTTTCACGGCATCTTTACAGATGTGTTGGGTGAGTAAAGCAAGCAGGTTTCAACACAAGAAAAAGTATAATATGGCAGCACCTCTTGTGCGTGCCTTACATCCCAAGTATATCAAATATTTATCTTGCACCTTGTGGCCTGTAATTTTTAAAGAGACACTTCTTTTTGCTTTATATTTGAGTCTTGATGCTTCGACAGCAATGTATTTGTGTTTGACAGCAAGTGTTCTTGAACAAATAACTGATCTCAATAATGACAACACGCCCTTCATACTTGGTCCTTAGCATAAGCTAGCACATACCTGTAGCAGATTCAATTATTCATTTTTTGCTGGGATGATAATGGGCAAGTAGCAAAGGCAAGTTCAGATTGGAGTGGTCGGTGACGTCTGTTTAGGCTCTGCCATATTGCTTTGCAACCAGAGTTACTTGTGGCCACATATACAATGAAGCCACATGACGTGCATTCTAAATGAGATTACCATATCACATTTCGCTGCATCTCAATGTGTGCCAAACAAATGCAGATATCATTAGCTTGCCACTATAAAGGGATACTAAACCAACACAAGGTTGAAATTTAGTCGTGGTGTTGCAGCTGTGTATGACTCTACAATGGATGCATAGCCGTGATAATTTGTCTATATGTTGTCG